TTGTATTAATAAAAGTATTAAATAATTATGCGTATTACCTATAGTATTAGCAAAGTCTATAGTATATCTATTACTATTAAGTAGCTCTAGTAATTAATAATAAAAAAGGTTAAAAAAAGTAGATTTAATAACTAATGTCTTAGTAATTCTTAATGTATAGTGAAAGTTAGTACTCTTATTAAGTAACTAAACTTATTACTATTAGAACTAAAGATAAAACAAAAGTTAGAGTTGTTTAAGTATATTCTTATTAATTACTATATAAGTACTTATTAATGAAATCTCTAGCTACTAGCTAATAAGCTAAGTAATACTATTTCTATAAGAATAAAATTATAACTTCTCTTTAACTTTAAAAATTCTCTAATATAACACTTTCTATCTTATACTAATTATATCTAATAAAACTATAAAATATATCTTTATAGCTATATATTATACAAGAAAGTATAGAAAGAAATTTCTCTAGTATATTTATCTACTTTAGTTTCTAATTATAACTTATATATAAGTTAAAGTTAATTCTTTAGTAAACTAATAGTTCTAGAATATAAGCTAGAATATAAAAATCTATAGCTATTCTAAGTTAGTAAGAAAACATTGTTTTAGAAATACCTAAAAGTATATTTTAAAAGTATAGGTATTAAGAAAACTTAGACTAAGAGTTTATATTTTATTCTTAGAGTATTGTAGTTAAAGGTCTTAAAACTTAGAGTAGTAAGATAACTATATTATTAATACTAATATGTGCTTAAACTATAGTAATTAAAATTATAATTAAAACTTTATTCTTAATATATTTTAACTTATAAATTTATTTATTTTTAATATAGTAGAAAACTAGAATTATTACTACTACAAACTATATCTACTAAACTTCTACTTTCTATCTTCTACCTTATCTACTATAATAATCTCTAGTTTTATTCTACTATCTAATACATATAAATAGTAGCTTAAACTGTATACTTTAAACTAAGTAGGTATTCAAAAATATTACTACGTTCTTTTAAATCTTTATAGAGTAGAATTTAAAGTTTAATTCTAGAGTAATTAACTTTAGTAATATGATTTCAAAATCCTATAACTTTACTAAGAAGAATAAAGTTTTATAACTTAAGCTAAACTATCTTATAAAAGTATCTTGTTAAGATTCTAGCTATAATTAGAAATTCATAGATTAAACTTTGCGTAGTACTAAGTATATAAAAGAACTCTCTTTGGGTATCTGTATTTTATAGTTAAATAGATTATATTATAGTTTAGAATAACTTTATTATTACTTAAACTTAATAGGTTTCTAATAAGTTTAATAGCTATTATAAATTCTATTACTCTTATTACTTAAAGAGTTACTTCTAAGTATTTATCTCTAACTTAAGTAGTAATACTTATAGCTTAAATAAGCTTACCTTTAAGAGTTATAGTATAGAAAACTATAGTTATAGCTTTTCTATTATTAATTATATAATAGTAAGTATAATTTAATCTTTAAGAATGCTTAAGTATATTTCTAATAGTTTTCTTCTTTCTTAGATATACCTTTAGAGTTTTTCTATATTAATATAAAGTTTTATCATAACTTTATAATAAAAAAGATTCTTAGTTTAACTATTACTATATCTACTATAAATTCTCTTTTCTTTTACTATTATACTATTAATTTATAAGCTTTTATAGAGTTAATTATTCTAGAAGCTATATTAAATACTATTATAAACTAATAATCTATATTTATTAAAGTATCTACCTAAGGTAGTCTTACTAACTATAGCGCGTACTACGTAGAGAGTTAATAGAGATATTATAAGCTCTTAGCTTTATTAACTACTTAGAAAGATCTACTATCTTATTTTTAGAAATTAAGATTCTATTATTACTTATATTATAGTAGAGTAATAAAAAGAAAAAAATATTAAAAAAGTTATTTTTCTTAAAGCTAGATATCTAGATAACTAGACTAGCTAAAAGAATAATTCTTAGTTTTCTAGAAAGCTAAGAACTTTTTCTTTAAGTTAGGCTCTTTAGAATATTACTTAGTAGGTATATATAAACAGAAAAGTAACGCTAAATATAAAGTAAGAAAAAGACTTAGTTTAATCTAGCTATAACTTTTTAACTAGCATGTAAAAAGTTTAAGAAAAAAATAATATTATACTAGCTTATATAGTACTTATAAAAGTAAAATCTTACTTATAGTTTTTAATCTAATTAATTTTAAAAAATTAAAAAAAAAAAAAGGTATACTAAAAAATAGCGCTAAAATTATATAAGCTTCTTTTAGTCTTATTCTATATATATTTTTCTTTCTAAGTTTAAATATTATCTTCTTTATATTCTTTCTATATTAGTAGAACTTTTTAAATTTAGAAAATAAGTTTATACTTTATCTCTGTAATAACTATCTACTAGTACTATTAGTACTATACTAGAAAGGTTTTCTAAGTCTATTATAAACGCTTTATAATTTATTAAAACAAAACTTTTACTACTTTTCTTAAGCCTAAACTAGACTAGTCTTAAAAAGTCTTAAAAAGAGCTACTAGAGTAGTTAATAGAAACTTAGCATATAGTTCTAAAAAGATAAATTAATAAATTTTAAAAAAGAATAATTAAGACTTTTCTACTAGACTTTTATAACACTTAGCAAAAGTAGAGAAATACTTTATTTTTACTACAAAAAAAAAGTAGCTTCTAAATATAAAAAAAGCTTTATTTAGAAGAAAATATACGAAAAAACTATTAAGAAAATAATAACTATAAACTTTAATAAAGTTATATTTTTAGATACGTCTTTTATATAGTATAAGTATAGTACTTAGTAAGAATATATTAGAAAAAAAAAGAAATAAAAGAACTAAGCCTAAATAAGTCTCTATAACTAATACTAGTATATTTATAAAAAATCTAAATAAGCTAAATTATTCTTTAAAAGATTTAGTATTTTTCTAAATTTTGAACCTATTTTTAGCTAGCTTACTAACTAAGTTATAGCTTATAATATTACTATTTCTATTTTAAAAGCTATTTAGATAAGTAGAAAATCTAAGTTATATATAACTAAGACTTTATAAAACTCTAAAAGCTTTATTAATATAAAATATATAATAAAAATCTTAACTTTTATAGTTAAACCTTTTTTTAAAAGAGGTAAAAAAGCTTTCTTTTAATTATAACTTTAAATAAATATAACTTAGTTAATTCTTATTATTTTTTAAAAAAACTTCTATATTTAGAAAGCTAATATTTTTTTTTATTTAGAGTAGAAATTCTAGTAAAATAATACTAAAATTTATGAAATCTTAGCTATTTTTAATTAGTTTAAAAGAAATAGAATTTATCTCTTTAAGTATTATACTTATAGCTTAAATCTATATTTTATAGAAGTTATTTAGAGTTTACTAAAGAATAAGCTAGTAAAGAAGTAAAAGAATTTACTAGCTTTTTAGGCATAAAAGCTAGTAATAAAGTAGTAGATCTATTTTTTACTACTATTTTAGAAAAGTAACTAGCTATACTATAAATATTAATAAATAACTATATTAAAAGCTTACTTAAGTGTTATAAATTAGTAGAAAAAGCTAAAGATTAGTATACTAAGTACTAGATACTAGATCTAGCTAGCTTATAATATAAAAAGCTTAAAAAATAACTTTCTAATTTAACTATTATAAAAATAGATAGAATAACTTTTTATTTAAATATATAATAGATCTAAGTATATATAATAGTATATTAAAGTTATAGTAAAATTAATACTATAAATAAAGTAATATAGGCTAAAAAGAGTAAAGCTTTTTAGTATACTTAAATACTGCTAATCTTACGCTAGATTTAGCTTACTAAGTAAAATTCTTAAGACGCTAACTTAAAAAGTAAGGTTTTAGCTTTCTAAAATACTAAAAATCTTAGTTCTAGCTAGTCTAGTCATTTAGATATATAGCTTTAAAAACTATAACTCTTTAAATTTTTATTTTTTTATTACTCTACTTTATAAAAAAGAATAAAGGTAAAAAAATATCATATAAAAGTAAAAGAAATATCTATTAAGTATATATTTTAGAGAATAAATATTACTTTCTACTATCTTTTACTAATTTTTTAAAAATACTTACTATAAAAATTTTATATAGATAGTTTTAAAGATTTTAATATTCTACTTATTAAGATTTAAACTATTTTTTTCTATAAAAAAAGTAGTATAGATTATAAAACTCTATTAATACTTTCTTATATCTTTACTTATTATCTTTGTTAATTCTATAGCTATTTACACTATTACTACTTTTTTATAATATTATTTTTAAGCTTTCTTTATAATATACTAAAACTTACTCTTAATAATACTTTTAATTATATATAAAGTTACTAAACTATACTTTATTATTATACTTTATTTTAGTATTCTACTATAATAAATAAGAAATAGAAACTTGTTATATATAAAAGCTATTCTAGAGAATCTAGATATTATTATAGCTTTAGCTAAATATTATAATATATTCTAAGATCTAGTTATTAGAAGAAATTACTTCTATTAGTTTATTAAGCTTATCTCTTATAAGAAAAAGATTTACTAGAGTATTAGTATATACTATTTAGAACTAGCTCTATTATTTAATAAATACTTAAGCTTTCTTTATAGTTACTACTAGAGGTTTACTACCTAGACACTTTTATGTCTATATCTATTCTCTTATAATATTACCTAGTATATAGACTTCTAATAAATAAGCATTATAGAAGAGAGATAGCTTATACGCTAGTGCTGTACTTTCTCTTTGTCTTTGTTTACAGGCTATACAGACTATTTTTATAATATTTTACCTCTACATCCTCGCTACGGTGCGCGCAACGGGGGCTTGCAATTTTAGCCTAAGTTGGTTCTGCGCCGCGACCTGCAGCCTAATCGTGGGCTGCTACAGCTATTGTCAACTACAAAGGCTATGCGTCTCCGCCTCTCCGCACTTCCTAGTTACCTTCAACTTAAACACGCCGCAATGTCTGAGGACATCTCTCAACACACGGATAGCGCAATATCACCAGCCTATGAAGTCTATCGAGAATCACAGCAGCCCGTCGGTCTCAGTCTCGATGCCCAGCGTCTAAAGTGGGCTCTCGACGGCCCATTGTACAGTGCGATCGAGGTCATGCAGGGCATCGGGTATGACGCCAACATCGCGACAGAGCCATATGGTGACAAGACAGCCTCGAATACCACTTGGCATTCGGTGTCTCAATCGCCCCTCACCGAACCCAAAACTTCCTCCGTCATCGTTCACATTGACATTCTCGAAGACTGGGAGTTCCAATGGCTCGAAATGCATCGCTTCTGTCACGACCCTGAGAAGAATGGAGAGGACCCCGATGAGTTTCTCTTCGGAGAGCTTCAAGATTACAGTTCAGACTTAGACAAGGAGGAGGAACCGCATCTATTGAGGTGTTGTCGCGCTAATCGCCCACGGAAGAAGTGTGAGACGCTCCTCGTCAAGGCCAGTGGCGCGTTCCTTACCATTCACGACTATGTCTCGGCGGTTCACCCCTGGTTGCTAAGGCAGCGTGAAGACATCTTTGGGGCAGAAGGTGACTTGATGAAGAATGAGTCTCTGGTGGAAGACACTAAGCTGATGGTTAGCTGTGGCTTGCCAGACCAAGTGAACTTCGAAACAGTGGAAGATTGGCGAAAGAGCATTTCGGGAGAGACTGTGAAGATTGACCTGGCGGACTGGCGCTCCTCCGTCTTTCAGCGGCCTCTCGACTGGTCATTCATGGACGGGTGCAAAGGACCGACCCTATCGTGATACTTCCGATGGTCAGGGATGAACATGAAGAGGGCAATGGAAATTAGTAAGTCGAGCGCCAAGGCTTCGAGGTTTTTTGGCCCAAACCCGCGACAACACCCCACTGGCCTTCGGTGATCTACGCCGGCCCAGATGGTGAGTCTACCACAGTAGGGCCTAAGATATCCTTTCCGAAGCCACCTCAATCTATCGGCCCCAACGCGCAGCCTCCGCCGACGGGTAGCTGGCCCAAGAGGCAAATTCAGCCTATCATCGGTCAGATCGAGGAGCCGTTGATCAAAAAGTATGGCTTCATGGACTGGGTTTGCTTCACCGAACGTGGATCTTCGGCGACAACAACACCATCTCGGGTGGGGATAACGGCGATTTCGACGAGAACTGGGAAGACAACTGGGTCGTATGTCCAATACCGACCAGTTCCTCGTCTAGTTCGACCTCTTCCAAGACGTCGACAAAAACGACAACTACTGAAGACCCGCCCGAACCTACGGCATCTCCGCGCGAAGGCGATCCAATGCAGAATGAAGTCGACTGTTACGGTGGTCTGGATCAGAAGACGGAGCATACGCGCATGGACAGCGCCATCCACGACTTTTGCATTGCGATAGGTAGCTCGGGTGACGTCTTCAAGGAAAATTACTTCAAGTCGTTAACTTACACATTCTACCACAGCACGGGAACCGGTGTCCAAATCCTCATATCGCTCAGCGTCGACCCAGGCTGCCAGTTCAAGTATGACTACGACTTGTGCTACAAATACCTGGAGGTTCCTGTCAACAGCTGTCAATGTGGGGGTGTGAACGGGAAGCAGGGTGGGTTTCTGAATAACGACTGCTACGAGTGGAGGATTGATCCGCAAACGACGTTCTAATCGCAAACGACGTTCTCTAGCCGATTGCTCTGTCGCGAGCTTGTAACATGGGCTGTCTATGTTTCCTTTGTAGTATGCAATAGTCGATAGTTAACGAGGTGTTGAAGCCGTACGGGTATTCGAATCAATCGCCTGCGCGCAATCGCTGGTCGAGGAGCGCATGTTCTCATACGAAAAGCGACGGTTCGTACTTATGTCATGCCCAGCGATACGGGCTCGTGCCATTCCTGCCGTCTGTGCTCTGCCATTGGCTCATCGCATCATTCACATGAGCGACTATCTGCGATTTGGCTCTACTCGAACTCTTCGTCAAGGTAGGGAGTCGTAACTACTTTCTGAGATTACCTGCACCAGACAATTCGTCAAACAGAGTGCAGCGCGGGAGCAAGTAGAGATGATCCGTAATATCCCGCGAACCCCGCTAGCGTAGGCCGACCGCACTAGCTGGTAGTATCTGAGGCTGTAGACGGTTTCTCAGTTGTGCAAATCGAGATCGGTGTGTGCAGGAACCCCAGCGAATACATGTGCCAGTCATCCTCCATGGGTCTGGGTGAAACTGCGGCCTTCTTTAGCGAATAGTGTTTACAATCTCAAGAGAAAGCCGCCTTACTTCCTTTCGGTCATGGTTGCAATGCCGAGATAGGCATGTTTCCGGTGAGCGAGAAAACATCAGTAAATGATCTTTTGTACAAGGTGATCTCCATTCAGCTATTTACCGCTGTAATATCGGTGATTCTCAAACCCAAAAGTACAAAAGCTTCGCATACTTCAATACGATAGTAGTACACCTAATACAGGCAGCAGCCAAAGAAGAAGCGAGCGACAGTCTGAATCCAACGAGCACTTCGTGTGTGGACTGGGTAACAACTATAGTAAAGGAATGACAAAAGTGCCTCCTCCCAAGGCACATGATACGACCTTAAAAAACGTCCAAGCTATGGTAAAGAGAAGAAGATGTTGACTATATGGACATTGCTTGGGAAAAAAGGTCTCTCAAAACGACACGCAGTCGCGTAGCAACGAAAGTTGGACAGCGCGAAGAGACAAAGGAACTATGTCGAGTGCTTCCTAAACTCGCTGTCACTGGCGCACCTCCCGGTAGGAACACCGCCAACGCCATGCTGCGAAAGACGTGCTTAAATTTTAATATCAAATGCGCAATTTAATGAATATGTGCGGGACAACTACCACGATGCTGCCTAGGGGTCCACTGGACTGTTCGCTCGGAGGGTTGGGTCTGGGTCGGGTGTCGTGGCAGGCTTTGCTTTGGGCGTGGGATCCGGATCCGGACTAATCGCGTCCTTCTGCGCCTTGGGAGTTTCGATGACAAAGTCAGTCACATCATCGCCGGGTTCTTCGGGAAAGAGGACTGGCGGTGTGAGCGACGTAGGCGCGACTGCAGGTACATCAAGGCTACCCTCATATTCCTCTGCCGCACGCTCCTCTGTGATCATTGGAGGCGGGGAGGAAGGTAGGGTTGAATCTGGCTGCCCAGGGTCTTCGACAGAGATGACACTGCCTCTGCTGTTCGTTCGCATCATCTCAATCCCAAGTTTCGACGTAGACTTTGGTCTTGACCTTGGACTCCGAGTGCGCACTGGAGCATGACCCAACTCGTCGTCTTCATCGTCCCCAGACTCTGCCGACTCGTGTTTGCGGGTCTCCAGAATGCGACGTTTGGCGCCGACTTGCTCTGTCGATCTCTGGCGGCGGATCGTTGCCTCCTCGAGAACGGCTGGCGCGGAGTCCCCGTGGGGCAGGTCAGGTGCACCAACACGATTGGGAACAGCTGCTTTCGCATCGGCATTAGCTGCATCGTCGCAAATCCCTAAGCCACTCATAGCTCGTGCGATGTCGCGCTCCCGCCAATCGTCGGCGTTGTGGATTCTAACTGGCATATCCTCGCCTGCACGACTCTCGTTGTCACCGAAGAAGCTAGAACTAATAGAGTCTTCGCGGCTCGAACCTCGGTAACTGGCAGAAGGGACGGGTGGATAGCCTGAAGAATTCGAGGTCGTGGGGCTGTCCTCCTGGCGCGAAGACTCTTGTCGAAGCCCAGAGGGCATCATAGATGGGTACAATTGGTTCGGCGTCCAGCCTGGCGGGGGTGCTTTCCATTGGCACAGTCTGCTCAACGTGTCCGTAAGCTTCGCCACAGTAGGAGGCTTTTCGATAAGTGCATCGAAGTAGTGGGGCGCCTGCAGCTCCTTCAGGTATCCAGTAACAGCGACAATCGGCGTATGCGTATTGGCGTTCTTAGTGTCTCGGATCATGCGAGCGACATCTGCACCATTGACCTGAGGAAGGCGGAACTCCATCATGATCACATCAAATTTGACCTCGCCCATCGCATATCGTATAGCTTCTGAGCCATTGGTAACGGTCAAAGTGCGGCAGCGCAACTTCTCAAGCAGCTTCTCCATGACAAGTCGTGACACCGGGTGGTCCTCGCAGATCAATACGTCTAATGGTCGGAAGAATGGACCGTCACCAAAGCTGATCTGCGAGAGTCTTCGAGAACTCTGACGTCGTCGCTGGACACGAAGCAGCGCTTTCGCACGAGAGTCTTCCGTGTCAGACGACGATGGAGACACATCAAGCACTTGACTCCGGCGCTTGTAGTGACCAGGTAGGAGATCGCGCACAACATCGTCCTCTTGAGACCCAAGCGTTTGAGACCGAGCGCGTGGCGAAGAAGCATTTGTTTGTGCCGATGACTGGCGTTGTCCAGTGACAGGCTTTTCTTGAGAAGCCACGGGGGGCGCCGACGGTGTCTTCGAAAGCCTGTTTGGTGAGACAGCTTCTGGCGATGGTCGCAAGCCTGACACGCGGGAAGGATCGAAGAAGCTTCCCGGTTGTAGCGACGATGGGTTGCTAGTCGAATGCGACAACGTAGACGAGCTACTAGACGTCTTGCGTCGGTCATGTTGTCCTGTGCTGAATTGTACGAGCAGAGGAGATGAGGGCTGTGAGCCACGACTTGGCGAGGAATGTGGCCCGCTCATCGAGGGAGAAGAAGGTCGTCCAGTGGCTCTATTGGAAGATAGCGTACGTTTGAGCGGGCCGGGTAGCATCGGGCTGTTCTCCAGCGATGGCGACGGCGACGTGACACTGGGCGACTGCAGTGGGGGTGCGGGCTTGTTTTGTGGAAGCATGGCTTCTGCACGCAACTTCTGGATGACGTCCTTGTTTGCCTTCTCCAGAACAGGTAAGTTCTTGTAGCTGAAATTACCAAAGTCGTCAGTTGCCATTGGTTCACTGAGTCTCCTAGACCGGCCTTCCCGCACATGAGCTGGGATATGGAGAGGGATCAGTCCTCGCTTCATAGTTGAGACGGTCACCTGGGAGCGTACTCTAGACAAAGCATCGTGTGGTCGGTCAGGATAATCGGTACTTGGGGTTCCTGCTGGTGTAGTAGCTTGGTCTTCAAACTCGGGACTGAAGTTTGCCATGGCGGCTCCTCTGGTGTCGAAATATTCCGTGTCCTCTGGATTTTCAGGTGCGGGAATGAAAGATGCTTCGTCATCCCGCAAGGTCTCCCAGTTGACATCTGCAAACCACGGATGGCTGCGGATTTCCTCTCCACCACTGGCGTATTTGTCGTCCTTGTTCGCCCCAAGACGTTGTGCAGGATCAGAGCACATCAACCGATTCATCAGATCCTTCGCATCGTCTGATATGTCGTATAACTCATCATCATCTTCTGGCCAGTCAATTCTACGCGCAAGAATGTTTGAAAACACCTCATCGGGCGTATCCGCGTGGAATGGAGGATATCCATACAAAGATTCGAAGAGGATGCAGCCTAAAGACCACCAATCACTGACTTCATCCTGGCCATTACCGGCGATAGTTTCAGGGGCAAGATAGTCCGGTGTACCGACGAACTTGCGATCGCTATCTTCTGGGTCGAACAGAGCCATGGGTGGCGGCGGCATTGCTGACGACGAGGGCGCCAAAGCAGTGTTCTGAGTTACTGCAGAGTGACTAAGGGAAGTTGTAGCAGGGTAGAGGTCGGGAGAACCATCGTCGCTGTAGGCTTCCTCTTCTATCGGTGACCGTCCGCGAGGCTGGCCAAAGGAATCCTCAGCTATACTAAAGCGACGGAACATGGCTTGTAGCGCATCACTATCTTGGCTGTCGCTCCGAGTGCCCGAAGTCCGCCTTGAAGGCTCACGACTTTGTTGGGAACCGTCTCGATTGAGGCTAAAGTACGACGGTTGACCGATGTCTCCAGCGAGGGCAGGTGTCATGGATGGCGTCTGTGAAGGCGAGTGATTCAAGTCAAAGGATGCAGATCGCGAAGATCCTACAGACGTAGCGCGATGAAAAGGGCCGGTTTTGAGCAGGTCTGGCGCAGGCTCAACAGACTTGAGTGCACGCTTCTGTCGGCCAATCATACCCATACGCGACAAACCGAAATCAGTCAGTTTGAGATGACCTTTTCCATCGATGAGCAGGTTGTCCGGTTTGAGATCGCGGTGGACAATGCTCCGACTATGCAAATGTTCGACGCCAAGCACCACCTCAGCGAGATACTTCTTCGCCCAGTCTTCTGGTAAAGCACCCAGGACCTTGATGAGCGAGGCGCAATCGCCGCCGTTCAAGTACTCCATGACGAGATAGAGGTAATCTTTGCTAGAAAAGGTCCAGTACAGCTTGGCGACGAAGTCACTCTCGCCTTGCCACATCATGATAGCTCGCTCAGCCTTCACGTTGGTGACTTGATTCTTGGCCACCATGTCGGCTTTCTTCAAGACTTTGATGGCGTAGTATTCTCCAGTCGATTTCTTTTTGGCCAGATAAACGCTACCAAAAGCGCCCTTACTGATGGGTTTGATAATCTCAAAATCCTTGATTGACGGAGGCACAGCGCGTGGCTGCGGCTGGGTGGTAGGAATCAAACGGGGAGAAATGGGTCTTGGTCCGTCTGAACCAGCAGTAGACGACTGTCTCCGGTGATGGTTTAGGGCGTGCACCATTGCTGGCGAAGAGAATTCAGTAGTCGGCAAGATGGGTGACGTGATTGGTGATTGCAACCCCTCCATGCCACTGGGTAGGCGCGGCTTGTTCGTTCGTAGAGGTGAAGATGGCGGAGGTATCATGGAACGGGCAGGCGAATGTTGTCGACTAGACATAACGCTCGGCAAGATCAGACTCTTGCGTTTGCGCTCACGTGAACTGGCTACCCTGCTGAGTCCTACGTCAGATGTTGCTGGTGAATCAGCTCGGCGAGGGCCAGATAACACGGATGAACGCATGCTGGTATCACTCTCAGCACCAGCATCGCTCTCGAAATGCATGGATTGGCGCTTGCTGTGGGTCGCTATACTGATAGCGCCTGCGTGTGACCGCGGTGTTTGACAACCCCCTTTAGGACTACTAGATCGATTTGAACCGGCTACAGAGGATTCACGCCGTCCAACTCGTGCTGGCAACGAAGCGTCAGAAGTGTTGCGGAGAGCTTGGGCCATGGAAGAAGGCGCATCGAAGGAGCCGGGGAATATGCCTTCTTCGCCAGGAGCGGTATCGGTGTCATTGGCGTCGGATTGAACTTCTTCTTCGGGTCGCTCGTCTTCAGAGGAGCTGTCCTCGCCAGCGGCGATACGAGCAGCTTTCAGGATCGCGGCTTCGATGCATTCTTGAACCAAGATGTCGAATTCAATGCGGAGTCGTTCAGAGTACTCAAGCACCCTCCTATGTCGAGTGACGGCATCGATCTTTGCCCTGGCAAGCCTGCTGGTATCTTCACACAACAGCTTCAGGCCTTCAGTGTGGTCGACCGAGCCTGTGGTAGGCGATTGCCATTGGAGGACTTGCGAGATACGGTTCTCCGACTGAGGCGATTGTGTGCGAATCTCCGTGGCTGCTTGACCACGTCCATTGTCCTTGACTGCCGGAGTGTTGATCTCGAGTGCGGTGTCGCACAAGTCCAGAACTAGCTCAACGATGCGGGCTAGAGGCCTCCGAACGGCGAATGATCGCGCGCGGTGATGACCAAAACCAGACGAGCGCTCTGAGCGTTCGCGTGATCTTGACGGCGGGGAAGCAGGAGAGTTGCGTCCAGACGGTGTGCTAGACGATGGCGTGGATGTTGCGTGGATGATGAGGCCCTTGTACTCGGCGGGCTGAATTGGCTGTACCGAGTCTACTGCCGCAGCTCTTGAACGCTGGCTGTGAGACTCGAGTGTATCGAGAACCTTGACGATGGAATTGCGGTGCTCAGCAAGAGTCTCTTGCGCCATCTGTACATCCATTTCCGCACGGTGTTCTTGTAGACACAGTTCAGAGTGCTTCTCGAACCACCAGGGTGTGATTTGTCGTTCGCAGATCCGGCATAGAACCGGTAGCGGCGGTGCGTGTTCGCCCGGGTTGGTTGCGCTTTGCTCGGCGAGGCCAGTGAGATAATGGGCCAGAACCTCAGCGCCTACTCCGAGAGATTCCACGAGGACTTCCGGGAGGTCGATTGTCACTTCGCGAATGATCGATGGCCGGACCATCCACATAGTCTGTTGCGGTTAGTAAAGTCAAATGTCAGGATTGATTGGGACGTACATGACTCTCCGCTCCAGTCGTTCGGTCGTATACCATGATTCCTTGAGCCTCGAGATTCAACAGCTGCTCCTCCTCTTCCTCTACGTGGGTAGGCGACATTGGCAATGATTCGGGGGCCTCGACGGCGTGTCTCGGTCGCTGCTTCCGTAAGATGGAATGAGGGCCCAATCGTACGGTGAAACGAGCAATGTGACTCCGGGAGTCGTCTTTCCTAACCGACTCAATCGTCTCGGCGAAACCGTCGGCACCGCCGCATATGATTTCGAGTGCAGGCTTGCCCGTGACTTCCTTGGGTAGGGTGCCAATGACGTCGGTCCACGAGGGGCTGACATAGCGGATCTTGCCCTCGAGGTCCAGGTCCATGATGATGTTCAGGCTGTGCTCGGCGGCCTCCTTGAGGTCTGCACGCTCGTTGCGCATGTCCTGACTAACACTGCGCTCCATGTTCTGTCGGTGGCCGCTGGTGCCGACAGCCTCCTGCTTCAGGGCAGTGACTGCGGGCGGGGCCAGCGTCGTGGGTTTCTTCTCGTCCGCCATGGCTGGGGTGGGTGGTGCTGTCGTCGCGAGAGCCCGTCGCCGGGGGGAATTGGGCGGGTGCCCGAGGGCTGGCGGGTGATGAGCTATGCGCAGAGAGCTGCCAGGACCATGGTGGGAAAAAAGCGACGGTCCGGGAGCGTCGGGCGTGCAGCTGGGGAAGGTACGCGTTGACGAGCAGTGCGGTAGTGCTTGCTGACTGCAACGAGAGTGGGTCTCGAAACCGGGATGAGGGGACTAGACGAGCTGCATGGTAGTGCGAGCGTGCAAGAGGGCGAGGAGAGCGATTGGGTGATGTAATGAGCGTCGCGGGCTGGGGAGTGGTGAGGGCGGTGGGCAGCAGGCGGCGGCCGTGGCAGTCGTCGCCGTCGTGGTGGTGGACGGGGCGAGAGGGGTACACAATGGGCGTCGTCTCAGCCGGCAGCACAAGGCGTCGGCAGAAAGGCGTTGACAAAAAAGAAACTACGCCAGGCGGGCGGATGAGCAGCTGCACGCATGGGATGGGCCTCGTCGGCACGCTATCCAGCTGGCAAAAGTCCCCACGCAGCACCCAAGCACGCGTCGAGAGAAAGTCACACGCAAAACAGCCGTGCACCAGGTGCGCGCGGAGCTAAAGGGTATGCATGATGCTGGTGTAGGGAGGGTGCATTCACTGGCCCGAGCGCCCGACCGCGACGGCACATCCTGGCCGCCAACACAACGGCAGAACCTCTCGCGGGCTTATCCAACACGGCCACAGTGCTGCGGCATTGGCAATCAATCGCGAATCAATCGAGATGGCCGTTGGCCGGTCGACAAGGCGGGGTACAGCACTGCAGCAGTCCTCCCTCTCTTTTCTCATTGTCATGGCCTGCCGCAGACTCCCCTCTACTGACCGCTTCGCTGCATGCTCCCGGTAATCCCTGGACGAGTGCAGGCCGTTGTGCTATTTGCTCGCCCATGTCTTTGGTCAGCTTGGGCAACACGAGACGAACCACGGGCAGCGCACTCCCAGACAGCCTGCGAGCACCTAAACACTATTCTGCAAAACAGCGCTTGTATGTAATCAGCCCTTAGCGATCGCCAGCCCCTCCCCAAGGCCGGCTACGACAAAGCCAGAGGACGACTAATCCCGTCGGACAATAACCTCGAACGGCTGTGCAGCATCGCGAACGCATGTTCACGCCATCATCAGCCGAGCACCATGACCTCTGCCCCCTCGACAAGACGGCCCAACGTTGCACGACTGCCCTCGTTATTGCGCGCGACAACAGACGAGCCCCTCGCCAGGACCTGCAGCGTCGCCGTGGATACACCACCTGGGGAGACGTGCAGATCGCTCCTGCCCGCCCAATCACACCCTCGTCGCATGCACCTCTGCTCCTTCCCCGTCTTGCCTGGTAGCGGCCCAGGCCCGCTACGTCTGCAACTAAGCCCGTCTTGTCGGCGGCCATATAGCAGTACACACGCCGGAGCGAACAGCTTGCTATTCCCGCTCCGTACACTTCCTATTCGACCTTCGCCTGGTGAACCACGTCCAGACCTCGACGTTGGATGCATCCAGGCAAATACCTGGGTCAGAGTGCAGCATCACACCCTCACAGCACTAGCTCTGCGCTACTGGCAATCGCCACCTGGGCCACGACGTGCATCGAGTCTGGAGTAATAGAATGGGGTTTGTTGACAACAGCACTGCTGCTACATGCTACGGCACCTCCCTATGCACCGACGCCAAACAACAAAGATGACACAATTGAGTCTGTCACGTGCTTTTCCGAACACCCGTAGACACGTGCTTCCAGCGGGCGACACCAACCGTGCTCTAATCGAAGTACACTGCGTCGGGCTTGTGTACACAAATCTTCCCCGATGCGTCGCTCTTCAACACCACCCTGGGGTCCTCTTTACTTGCCTTGACCTTCTTGCCGTCGATTTGCTTTTCTTCATACAGAACCTCCACGACCTCGCCATCAACATAGCCAGGGAGCGAATGCCATTGAACTTTCTGGCCCTTCTTCGGCACACGGGTTATGTCGCCGGCAGCTCCAATAGGCTTATCGTGCTTGTTCGCTGTACTCTTCTGTCTCTTGCTGGCACTGGGAGCCTCTATGTTTGCGCCACGTCCTCGCTTTTGACCTGGATGATCGTCCTGCGGGGGGCTCTTGGATTTCCGGCTGCTTTCCAAGAACTTCTGGTATGCACGTTGATCCTCCTCCATGTGGTCCGGGTCGTCCCATTGTGTGGTGCAGTCCGTCTTGCTCTTCTTCTCGATCTTGGTAAAGCCCTTCTTCTCACCGTCGTTGGTAGCGTCTTTCTTCGCCTGTGCAGCTTTTGAGGTGTTGGCGACATGTTGCTTGCCCTCTTTGCTTCCCTCCTGCTTCTTGGCATCTGTCTCCTCCTTCTCCTTGTCGCTCATCTCCTCCCATGCCTTCTTCGGCAGGTAGCGGTGTTCCAAGCCGTTCTTGTCTTTGGCGCTTCCGCTTCCATCCTTTGTCTGCCACTCTTCTTCCGTCCACTCATCCAGATGCTTCGCTTGCTCGTCTTTCTTGTCCGTGGTATATCCTCCACCGCGTTTCTTATATTCGGATGCCATCATCTGTGCCTGCGATTGACTGTGTCAGTGGTGCAAAGAACACTCGCACTAGTCAAGCCTACCTTTCTGGCTGACCATTGGCCGGGCTCGCCTCCCTTATCACCAGCCTGGATCTCCTCCTTGACTTCATCACGCAGTTGCGGATCCGTGTATTTGTCGTCGGTCTTGGAAGGCATTTTTGATGAGACTGAGCGAAGAGCAGGTCTGAAGGAAGTTGTAGTCACACGAGGTGCGCGATGTGCAGCAACAAGCAAAAACGGTCGGGGGAGAAGCGTGCGATACATTCCAGAAGAACAAGCGTCCAGCAAACAATCTTTGTACTACCCCAGATTCCCTCCACTGACGTACAGGTACCTGCGCAAGCTTCAACCGTTCTCATCTTAAACACCCAGCCACCCTGAATCACCTACATCATGAAGTCTTCACAATTCCGTATGGCGGCCAGAGCACCTTGGAATCTGGTAGAGCACGTCTCGTTCCTCTCAAACACGCGCCGGGATGACATCAATGACCTCTCGACAGACCAATTCGGGTTGGCGTGAGCGCTCGGACCTGATCGTGCGCTGAGATCGAGGAGAAGCCAGCTAGCGTGCGTCTGCCAGATCACCTACGTCCATGCCCTCTGGACTACCTAGGAAAGGGCGACCCAACATTTGTCGCAGGCTGCTGCTTTTCCCAGCCACCCTTCCCATTTCCTTGCTTTGACGGGAGTTTTCTCGTGCGTCGACTGTCGGATGCAAAAAGCTCCTTGGGCCATGTCTGCCCCAAGCCGACATGGGCCGGTCCGTAAGTAGCGTGCCACTGGTGTGTACTACAGCATAAGTGCAGCCACCGCCCGGCAGATGTTGCACATCCTCTGGTATTCGCCCGTGTGAGCAGCTCGCGAATTCGTATGGTCGCGTGTCTGGTAGAGAAAGGCTCTGAAGCCATCATCAGTGCGACTCCCAGACGTACTGTCACGATACCGATGCCAATGACCCCTCTCTCGGCGAAGTCAGACAAACAAACTAACGTGCTTGCCGCAGTCTTTGCAGGGCTGTCGCCAGCCATGATCGTTCGTTTTTCAATGGCTCCATCTGCAATCTCTGTTTTAGTGGGTTAAACTGACATTACCTTATGTGAGAACAGTCAATATTGCTGCTCACTGGAAAACGGGAGACATGTCGGCGAGACCTCACACAAGGAGACAAATATCCGGCCTGCTTTCAGAACTATTGATCGCGTCTGGAAAGGTATGCGTCTTATACCTCTGTCTTGGTAGCCGCGCTGGAAGAGGTCACTTCGTTCCGAGCAGCCGACGTCTTATACCTTAGTGACTGGTGCCAAAGCAAGTCAAATCATTTTCGATTTTGCGACTTTTCCGATTGGCTCACATCTTTCGACGCAATGAATGTGGGCTCTGCCTAATGTACAATTTAGTAGAACTACGGTACACACTACCTTAGCAGGCCTCGTAGGCACCCCTCCATCATAGCATTCTAGGCGCGCCTTGGCTGAGCCAGAAGTGCAAGAACATCGACTCTTGTCCCCTTCATCGGACTCTTCTAGATGTGATGGAAAGGCCAAGACACCGATGAAGTCACAGCGACGCCTTTCTTCCACGCGGCTTCTAATAGCTTCTCTACGCCTACTAGATTCCACATATGCTACACTCAATGAAGTCTTCCGGTCGATTCTTAGGGCACACCGTAACGTTCCGGTCTCCTTTCGGCCATGAGGTAGGAGTATCTAGGCCCGAGACGAAGCGTCTGACTTACCTCAACAGGTGTCTACGGAAAAGGTCCGCCAAATACTGAACACTACTACAATTCTTTATGACGCAACCCAACCAGAGTGACATAGTGGGAACCGGCAAAGTCATATAAAACCGCAGGCACGTTCTCACAGTAACAAAATGATATCCATCTTATTCTACTGTCTTCATTCTTGACTTCACAATGCGTCTCACCCCATTCATCTTTGCGGCGTCAGCCACAGCCCTTCCCGCCATCTTCCGCTCCCGAGCAGCTCTTGCAGAAGCCCTCCTGCCGGAGATGTCCCTCCCAATCGACTACTCTTTCGGCGTGCGGGTACCGACATCTTCCAATCCATCATCATCCAACCCTCTGGCACTCCTTGTGAACGGTTACACGGTCAAAATCCCACTCATCGCTAGCTCAGGCACTCTCGTCTCCTGGATAGCCAACTACGCAGACGGAAAGGCATACAACACACAATTCACTTCCATCAACCCATCGGCGCCCAGGAACATCACCACAGACTCTGACTCCACCTCGCAGCAAGGCGGAAACAGCGTCTCAAACGCAACAGCACTAGCAGATGGACGTCAAGCTCGCGTAGTCACAACATCTTTCTCCTCAGGCAACGCCGCATCCGCCGCAGCAGCCGCCCTCGACGGCACAAACTCCGATTCCACGTCCTCATCCGGCGCCGCAAACAGCACCGCAGTCGCTACGACCAACGCCTTGGGTGAAGTCTTCATCTTCACCTCCGCCAACACCGCCAACGCCCTAAACTCGCAGTCCATCAACAACGCCAAGGGCGCCGAAGCAGCATCCTCCTGCGCCGCCGACTCCGGACCTGCTGCATCCGCACAAGCAGAGCAGGTTAACAGCCTTTACATTCCCATTGGCACGTCTCCAGACGGTACGGAGACGCAATGGGTCAAGAGCTCGGCTTATGCGGCGTGTGCGGCGGGTGTGGATGCGCCGAATCAGGGTGGCAGTTCGAGTTCGGGGAGTCAGAGTAGTTTGACGGGCGTGAAGAGTAGTGTTACTTGTAATGGGGCTACTAGCACTGATCAGACTAAGAGCACGACGTATAAGGTTAGTGTTAAGGGGAGGTATACGTTGTTGAAGGGGTTTAATGGTGCGGTGGGTGGGCAGAGGGTTGCGGATAGTAGGAGTCAGTGTTAGATGTGTCGTGGGTGTTTGATCTTCGGAGGGCTTTGGAGAGCTCGGTCAAGAGTGTAGCAGTGTGTCTTTGGTTTTTGTCATTGACCTAGTTGAATAGCACGTCTTGGACCCTATAGTAATCATCACAATGCAACAAACATCGATGTCTCACTTCATCACATCTCCCTTTGTGCATGTGAACATTATCATATATGTTTTTAATCATCATAAGATTCTCAACATCATACTATTCTCTCTACTGCGTGCCTTCTTATCCTGATTTCTGAAGAATCGGGCCTGGTCACATTTCACTTTCACCTTGGAACTTCCGTGCGCACCTTCACACCCTGCAATGACGCTGCTATTGTCAAGTCGCACAGTGAATACCGTCTCCCAGATTAGACTAGTTTGAAGCACGCTCCGCTTTGATAGAGACAATAGCAGAAGCTCAATTGCCTTTACGATGTCAAAGCGCTTGCTTCGGAAGATACTTACCTCCTCATCTACAAGCCCATTTGCACATCGTCCCAGCGACATGGCTGACTTACTATCTTCATTAATTCTCACACCTCTGGCTAGCAGGACGCCATCTCCCAACGTCTCGGATTTGACATCGTCCCTCCTCACCTCATATCCGCGTCCAAAGACACCCTGGCGCAACCCGTATTCTCCCATTCATGGCCACAGCCCGCTGCGAGCCGAATACACATTGCCTAATGCATGGCCAGACGAGCGCAATGGTGAGGCAACAAGTCCCTCAATGTATCGCGACTCCTCCACACCACTCTCACAAGGGCCAACGTCGTCCTCAGCCAGCCACGACAGCTTGACAGCTGAGCCTTGCAAATCGCCTGAAGTCGAGCAAGGTGATACAGGCTATCGAGGTCCAGCGGCCAATCTGGTGGCCAGCAGACTACCGCAGGTAGAGGCCGATGAGATAGCCCAGCGTCGAACAATTGAAGACATCTACCGCATACGAAATATTTTGAACAAGAAGCGACGTTGGGATGATCGCATGGCAGTCTTGCTGGGGGAAAAGATGTTGGCAATTGGCATCAATCGACATCTGGGGGCCACTGAGGTGGGGTTTCTATCAGAAGATGAACACACAATGGGAAAAGGGACAGTTGGTACAAACGGGCACCGAAGAATGCACGAATTCCTGCACAGCAAGGAGAAGAAGAGGAAACGGAGTATTGAAGACATTGAAGATGACGTCACGGATGATAGAACATTAAAGAGGGCGCGGAAAGTGCCTTCGGGCATATTGGAGATGCACAGAGAGAAGAAAGGTCGCACCGTCCCCAGCAGACGTACCGGATGAACACGACATGGACCTGGCATACAAGAGACAAGTCAGACGCAGACGGAGTACAGCGCAGTGAAACCACATGTCGCGCCTGCATGATCACCCCAATGTCACCCAAATACGCTACAACTTCAGGCTGGACGGACGAGCATTGGCAGATTCACCGCCTTGAGATGCCGAATATCCGCAAAGGGTGGAAAAGGAAGTTTGACTGCAAGATGGGACCAAGTGGAGATGAGTGGGTAATGGATCATGGGGCAGGGAGCATGGGCCTCCATCGCCAAGATGCGGGGAGAGCTCCTCCCCAACACAGCCGGAGCCATGCAAGGTACCACAGCTGCTGTAGCGTGCTGTTGACGTTGTTGACATTTCCACACCGCCTCGACCGAGTTCCAATCCCCATTCTCAGCCTCATCCACCATGGGAGGAGAATCGCACCGCAACATGCCCGTCCCCGTGGCCAAAGACTACCCACAGCTGGCGGCTGGTCCCGTTGGCAAGCAGATCCACAGCATCTACCAGAGCCGACTGAGGCAGTTCCTCGATGCAGGACAGTACAGGGAACAGAGTCTGATTGGGTGAGTCTCAACCTTCACGCCTTCCTAATCGTCTGTCTCCAGCTCCAAGATGCTCATACGTCATACAGCAAGCTCACCGAAGCTGTCGCGTCCGGTACCGACTGGGTGAAGCTCTCCGTGTACTCGCCCCCGAACCTCTCGCGCCCGCTCTTCAAGGAAGCCACCTCCCATGCTTTCCACCCCACCAAAGTTGGCGAGTCATTTGGCCCCAGTTGGTCGACCCACTGGTTCAAGGTCCAACTCACGGTGCCCAAGCACATGCTCGACAAGGAACATCTCGAGTTCGTCTGGGATGCAAACAACGAGGGCTTGATCTGGACCGAAGATGGACACACTGTCCACGGACTGACAGGTGGCGGCGAACGCACACAATGGATCCTGCCCAAGGATTTCAGAGACGGCAAAGAGCATACCTTCTATATCGAGATGGCCTGCAACGGCATGTTCGGCAATGCCCCCGGCGGCGACTCGATTCAGCCACCAGACCCAGACAAGTACTACACGCTGCACACTGCCGAGGTCCAGGCGGTCAACCTGGAGGCGAGAGGGCTATACTTTGACTTCTGGGAGATCGGAGATGCCGCTCGCGAGTTCCCTGGAGACTCGACGCAAGCCCATGATGCCCAGCAGGTCGGCAACCGCATCATCGACACTTTCATTGCGGGCAATGGAAGCCAAGAGAGTATCAAAGCATGCCGCAAGATTGCCGCTGAGTACGTCGGCAAGGACGTAGACTCGCACAAAGTATACGAGACCGACCAGGAGGCGATCGTGCACGGTATCGGCTACTGCCACATCGACACGTGTTGGCTCTGGCCATTCGATGAGACCAAGCGAAAGGTCAACCGATCCTGGTCGAACCAGTGCGACCTCATCGAGCGATACCCCGAGCTTCGCTTCTGCTGCTCACAAGCGCAGCAATACAAGTGGCTCGAGCAGTACTACCCTTCCACATTCGATCGTGTCAAGAAGAAGGTCAAGGAGGGCAGCTTCCAGCCTATCGGTGGTAGTTGGGTCGAGCATGACACCAATCTTCCCGGCGGAGAGTCGCTTATCAGGCAATTCTTGTACGGCCAGCGCTACTTCGAGAGCAAGTTTGGCCAGCGGTGTCGCACTTTCTGGCTGCCGGACACTTTCGGATACTCGACGCAATTACCACAGATCTGTCGCATTTCGGGTATGACTAGATTCCTGACTCAGAAGCTAAGCTGGAACAACATCAACAACTTCCCACACACGACATTCAACTGGGTCGCGCTGGACAACAGTCAGGTCATCTGCCATATGCCGCCATCTGAGACGTACACGTGCGAAGCGAACTTCGGTGACGTCAAGCGCAGTGTCACACAGCACAAGTCGCTCGACCAAGACAAGTCATCGCTGATTGTCTTCGGCAAAGGAGATGGAGGCGGCGGTCCGACATGGCAGCACCTTGAGAAACTCAGGCGATGCCGTGGTATCAGCGACACTGCTGGTCTGTTGCCTCGCGTCAAGCTAGGCGACTCAGCAGACGACTTCTTCGACCGCCTGGAGAAGAAGGTCGAGAATGGTACTGAGCTCGTGACATGGTATGGCGAGCTGTACTTCGAACTTCACCGTGGTACATACACTACACAGTCGAACAACAAGCGCAACAACAGGAAGTCGGAGATCATGCTGAGGGACATTGAGTACCTGGCGACTTTGGCGACAATCAAGAACGGCTTCGGCAAGAAGAGCTCGTACAAGTACCCGAAGAAGGACATTGATGACATGTGGGAGAATGTGCTCTTGTGTCAGTTCCATGACTGTCTGCCTGGAAGTTCCATCGAAATGTGCTACGACGACTCCGATAGGGTATGTTGCTGATCCCCAACCTTGACTTCATGACTGACTTTTTTAGATTTACGCCGAAGTGTTTGCTACTGGGGAGAGGCTGCTTTCCGACGCCCTTGCTGAACTTGGCTTCAACGATGAGACTAGCTGGGACCAAGACACCAAGCTATTCGCGATAAACACTTTGCCATGGAGCCGTACCGAAATCATCAAGTTGCCGAGTGAGGCAAGTCGAACGAAGTATAGTCCTCCAGGTGCAGAGTACGGTCTTGCTCATCGCAACGGATCTCGGAAGGGTCTGGGTGCTCTGGACGTGTTCCCACTCCACTCTGCGTACCCTGCTCAGAAGGCGACTATTGAGGAGATCCATCCCAATGTTTACGAACTGCGAAACTCGCAATTCGTTGTACAGGTCAACAACGGTGCCATCACCTCACTCTTCGATATTGCCGCCGATCGCGAACTGATTCCGAAGGGTGCCAAAGCCGGTCAGCTTGTAATTTACGACGACAAGCCACTTTACTGGCAAGCCTGGGATGTCGAAGTATACCACCTTCAGTCCCGGCAGGAACTCGAGCCCAGCAAGGTGACCATTGCGGAGAACAGCGTTCACCGTGTGAGCCTGCTGATTGAGACGAAGGTCTCAGACAAGTCGTGGGTCAAGACGACCATGAGTCTACCTGCAGCCGTAGGAAACACACCCAGTGCCATCGAGTTTGACGCAGAGATTGAATGGCACGAGACAATGAGGTTCCTCAAGGTGGAGTTCCCAGTCGACATTGTGAACACGGAAGCCAGCTACGAGACGCAGTTCGGTATTGTGCGTCGACCTACCCACTACAACACCACCTGGGACATGGCCAAATTCGAAGTCTGCTGCCACAAGTGGGCCGATCTGTCCGAGGCTACCTATGGTGTCTCGATCCTGAACGACAGCAAGTACGGTTTCGCAGTCGCCGGAAACGTCATGCGTCTGTCCCTTCTCCGCTCTCCCAAGGCCCCAGATGCCCATGCCGACATGGGCAGCCACAAGACTCGCTACGCCATCTTCCCTCACAAGGGCGGTCTGGACGAGCGCACTGTGCGAAAGGCCTTTGAGTTCAACAACCCTCTCAAGATTGTTGGTCGCCAGGGCCTGCACGCCCCAGCATCCTCCATGCACAGTGGTCTCTTGAACCCCTTCCATATCTACGGCGCCCCCAACCTTGTGCTCGACACCATCAAGCGCGGTGAAGACGACGAGGATGTCAGCCGTGGTGAACTGCCGATCAAGAAGGGTCATTCAATCATTCTACGCATCTACGACAGTCTGGGAGGAAAGAGCAAGGGCGTGCTTACCTGGGGTGATGTCGATGTCAAGAAGGTGATCAAGGTCAATGCGCTGGAGGACGAAGAGGGTGAGCCGCTGGACATAAGCAACATGAGGGTAGGAGCGGAAGAAGTGAAGGAGAAGGGTGTGCCAATCGAGATTCGCGCATTTGAAGTGGCGAGTTACAAGCTGTTGTTGGCATAGGTATGGCATAAGTATGGCGATTGATTGGTAATCAGTAATGAGAGTATGTGGCATGACATGGACGGTCCTTCGATCACTGGAAATATCTTTGTTGGAGTACTGTTCGGGCGTTGAGTATACATAGTTGGGCATCAAGCATAAGCAATATCACGTGTCGTATCCAGTACTGTCAACCCGTTTATTCGAGATCAAAGTGAAAATAGTGTCATTGTGTCCAAAACGCCTATGATGCCTTATCCCATGCTCTATATCTCGATTGATGCCATCAAGCTACCGTGGTCCTAATGTGGGCTTAGTTGCACTCGAGGACAAGCATTCCGCTCGCCTTGCTGGAGTGCAGACCTAGTGGATGCGATCCAACTTGAGCCTGTTCCTGGCAATCTTGTCATCGACCGAATCTGTCTTGCCAGTGATGCGTGTAATGTGCGTGTTCTGGTTATCGACCTCTTCGCCCATTGCGCGACCGAGTTGGTTGAGGTTCTTGGCCATGCCATGAAGTTGGTCTGTTAAAACAAGTCTGTTAGAATCCACACATGAATGCAATAGATGGGGAGTACGTACCCAAGTTGTTATCGATCTCGTTCTCCATCTCGTCATCCTCCTCGTCAGCCTCGAACTGGAACTTCGAACGTGCAGCCAGCGAGCTCTTGTTGTTGCCTTGTGGTCCACCGCCTGTGGCTAGCTTACGCTGAGCTTCGTTTGCGCGGGCTCCGGACTCCCACTTGGCCCGGTTGGTTTGCTCTCGGGTGTCACGGTCGCGCGCGTGCTGGTCCATGGCTTGTTGCATTTGCTTCTCGCGCTTGGAGTTGCCTGTGAAGGGGTTGGGGACGATGGAGAACATGCTTGCATTGATGCCTGGAGTCGTGTTAGTCATGAATGATACGTGTTGGGGGGTGCGTCCTTACGGGCCAGTTCCTTGGTCTGTCCATTTGCTCTGTCGCTCTGGATGGAGGCAAGGTCGAGGTTGCGTTCCGTGCTAGGAACGAGTTAGCTGTGTATAAACGTGTGAATATGTGATCAACGTACTTATGAATGCGCTCTCCCTGTGCTGCCAGTGTCCCTAGAGTTCCTCGACCAGTTTCCAAGGCCTGCTCAGCTAGACGGAGAGCGTTTCTGGTGCTCGCAACATCTTGCTGCTTCATGAACTTGATCTCCTGCTTTGTGGCGTCGATGTCTTCCTCTTCTTGTTCTTCAGCCGTCAATTGGCGGTCCTCGTATGCTCCGTAGCCACCAGGCGCAGAGCCATAGCCACCGGGAGCACCAGCTCCATATCCGCCACCAGGGGTGCTGCCATAGGCACCGCTTTGACCAAGGGCGCTGGGCTGCTGAGGCGGTTGCGCTTGCTGGCGTTGGGGAGCGTTGCCGAACAGCTCGTTCCGGCCTGCCTCGGTGCTCATGGTGTCGTTGGACGCAGTCCTTCCCAGGCCTCCGTAGCCGCCGGGCCGCTGTGGTGCGCCTCCGCCATAGCGATCGGCTCCATAGCCTGACTGTGCGCCGTAGCTGCCTCCTTGCGCGCCATATCCGCCGGGTCGCTGTCCGTAGCTCTGGCCCGGGCCGGTGACAGCCGGCGTCTTCTCTTGGCGGAAAGAGTTGTCCTGGCCGTCGTTCGAGTACGAGGGGGGTGGTTGTGCGTATGGGTCCTTGCCTACAGGTGCGGCATACGGGTTTTGGGCGGCTGGGCTTTCCTTGCCGCCCTTGTCCTTCTTCTTGGAGAATAGGCCCATGATTCAGGTGTAGAGTTTTGGGTGTGGTGAAGAAAACGAGGAGATGAGTCGCGTCTTGTAGGCGTCGACGTCAGGGGTGGGTGCGGTGAGGGCTGACGGGTCGGGGAGCACCAAGGGAATTGTGGGGTGCGTTATCGATTGGGCGAGCCAAGGTTCACGGTCTCGCAGCGGGAACGCGAAAGGTGATTGAAGGAAGGCACGAGATGAAGAGGCGATGCAGTAGTATATGAATGTCACAGGTAGAGGAAGTCGCGTTTGAGCAATGAATGTTTTGCTGCGTCTGGCGTTTCAATCATCAGAAGCGCCCAATGCCGCTAGCGAAGGCGGAGCCCTGGGGTGAGTACGCCACCGCTTGTGGCTGAGGGCCGCTTGCGAGGAACCGCTCGAAATAGCTACAAGACACGTTCCAACCGTGGGTTCGAGTGAAAGCACGAAGAAATCTGCATCTTGTTTCGAGAGTATGTCCTGAGCAGCGAATTCCAAACTTGAATGCGAAGATTGGCAGGGCAGTCGCATGGTTGGGCCCACATCATTTGGTCCCTGCAGCCGCTCTCAGGCACCGCGCCTAAATTGGCCCTTCTAAGGTCCACCCGTACGCATATATTGAGACCTCCGACATTGTCTGGGTATCTTTCGTCCTGCAATCTACAACGTGAATAGCAAGCATGCATGATGCTACGTCGTCCAAATCGCGCTGTCTTCCTCGTGTGTAACCTCACCGTCCGAAGAGGGTAGATCCTCATGCTCCTCTTTTGTCCAGATCTCGTTACCCGTCACCACCGGGAACGATGTCAGGACGCGGCTTATGTCTCCCCACCATACTTCGCCGAACCTCCGATACCAATCCACTGTCACCTTCAGACCTTCATCAAAGCTCGTCTTGGGTTCCCAACCCAGCGCGCTCAGCTTGGTCCCGTCCGTCGCATAGCGCTGGTCGTTAAACGGCCGGTCTTCCGTGTGCTCGACCCATTTCGACAGCTCGGTAGGGGAGTCATGGGATATTTCGAAGACATCCAACAGCCTGCGGCAGATGTCCGAGTTCGATATCTCGTCCTTGGACGCGATGTTGTAGATCTGACCAATGTCGCCTTTGTGAAGTATGGTGTCCAGCGCATCTACAATATCCCCTGCGTACAGATATCGTCGTGTGGGTGAGCCGTCGCCGTGGAGTAGGAGCTTCTGTTTTCGCTGTAGCAGCATGATGAACTTTGGGATGATCTCTGCATAAGTCAGCTCAGTCATCAACCCTAGGATCTAGGATGGCCCACTCTCAGGGAACTGATGTGGTCCATATACATTGTTCGCACGAACGGTGATCAGCGGCAGCTTGAAGCTACTCCTGTATGCGCTGACCATCATCTCTGCCGCTGCTTTACTCGCCGAGTATGGATTTGTTGGTGCCAGTATGCTCGTCTCGCCCAGGTCTGCCGCTCCGACAGGAACATCGCCGTATACCTCATCGGTCGAGATGTGTATGAATCTAGTGACACCATGTTCTCTCGCTCTTTCAAGCAGAACATGGGTGCCATATACATTGGTGTTCGTGAATTCGTATGAATTGCCAAAGCTAAGATCGACGTGCGATTGTGCCGCGAAGTGAAAGAGCGTGTCGATTTTGTGTTTTCGCAAGACGCGCTTTACGTCCGCCGGTGACGTGATGTCACCCTGTTCGAAGGTGAAATTGGGTCGACCATCGAGGATTCGCGTGTTGTTGAGCGCAGCGCAGTAGTCCAGCTTGTCGAATGATACGACATTGTAGTGTGGGTATGTGAGTACCAGATGCCGTACGAACCAGCAAGCTCTACTCGGTGGTCAGTTGTGATGCATCATAACGAAAGATCAAGAGACGCACAGCTCACAACTTCCCGTGCTCTCGTCGCAACGTACATGAAGCCAGCTCCACCAGTTATCAAGATGTTCTTCGCATCAGGAAGAGGCTCGAAGTTGGTGCTGCCAATGAGTATCGGCGCCTGCTTCCATAGTTCCTGCTTGACATGCGATCTCGCATTGAGAACGGTTGACCTTCGCCGGCCTGGTGCTGTTAGCGTCGGGGTTGGACTGTGCCTTGCATTGCATCGTGCAGGTGCCCAGGTGGAGACTCACGCTTTACGCCATTGGTGCCATTGGGCACATAGTGGGCGCTGTCAGAGTCTTGGCTGGAACCCATCGTAGTAGTAGCTCTTGTCCTCATCTACCAAGAGTCGTCGAACGCTTGCTTGACATGCTCGAGTTTGACATACAACAAGTTGTACTGGTCACGTATGCGCGTGCTGCTGGCCGCGTGTCTGCGACGAGCGCGATTCGGCACTAACCCGACGCGGAGATGCATCCGGGATTGCGCGTTACGTCATCAAGATCTGGCGAAACTGCTCAACACCAGCTGAGCGAGAACGCTGCATCAACACCACATATGCCCGCATTCCGACACAGCGAATCGTTAGGTCCTGATACATACCACGCATTGGAGCTTCGTTGAGCGAAGATCAGCCGTTCCGGCTCCGTAGATACCATATCTACCGCACCGAGAGTCGAGCCGAACAACGCTATGCATCAGTTTGAGCACAGAACGTACTCTTCTACCTCGAAACCAAGTATATTCTCCAGCTGGTTAGCGGAGTGTGTTCCACGTATTTGTGGTTCAACAGAATCCAGGACAAGAGGCATGACAGCGAGTGCGTTACACATACCCCGCTTCTCCCCCAGCCCGTCAACAACTATCTACGCGTCTCGTAGCTTTCGCAGCGAATTGGACATGTCGGCGCGATACGCATATTGCGGCTTACGCATCTCATTTCCGGCCTTCCCGCAAGCAGCCAAAGCGGGCTGCCCCACCACAGTAATGTGGGGATGATCCCCAGCCGTTGCCTTTGATTATCCATCAAGCAACGGATCGAATCACGTGAAAGGCTCAAGTATAAGCATCTCATCTTACAGTTTCGGTCAGCTCTGTTACCGGATCCTCTACGCGCACCAGCTTTCCAGTTTACTGTCGTACTCATCGATATCCCATAATTGCGAGCATGTGGGCTACTTATCTTCTTCTTGTGGGCATCATCGCTCTTGTACTAGATTACTGTCGCATGCTGTACCTAAGATGGCGAATGGTAAGTGCTCTCTTCTTTGCCATCTTCATGTCTGATCTGTCACTAATACACCAACAGCCGCCAGGACCATTGCCTTGGCCTATTGTTGGAAACACCTTTAGTCTACCGGAGGAAAAGCCTTGGTATCTCATGGAACAATTATCGAAACAGTACAATTCGCCGCTCATCACATTCTGGATCGGGCGGTTAGTTCCACGGCAACCTTACCGTCATGAACGGTGAATAACACAGCATACGAGACCGACGGTCTGGGTCAATGACGCATGGACTGCAGATGAGCTTCTCGTCAAGCGGGCAAACATCTACAACTCTAGACCCCGCATGCTGATGTTCGCTGAGCTTATGTCTGGCCAAATGAATCTGCTGCACAAATACACGTACACGAAAGAACAACGTGAAAAGTTTCGCGACCTCAGGAGAGTTACCCACCAGGGTGTTGGGATACAGCAGGTCAGCGTGACACAGGGTTTCAATCTGTGCATGCTAACGTTATCAGATAAAACGCCATCGAAGCCTTCAAGACGACGAAAACAAGATAGTAGTATGTGACTTGCTCGAGACACCCGACAAATTCGTAGCTCATTTCGAGCGATACGCTACGAGCGTTGTGTCGATCATCGGCTTCGGACGTCGGATTGGAGACATACAAGATCCGTTGATCACTGAAGTTATCGCGCAGATGCAGACCTCTGCTAAGATGGCGGTCGTCGCCAAGGATTTCCCGCGACTGATGGAGACCTTTCCATGTAATTCTCAATGTCGCTTGTTCAAACTCGTGCTAACAAAGGCAGGGCTGGCCAAGTTTCCCAATTGGATGGCTCCTTGGAAGCGTGATACTCGACGTTCAGCAAAGCCCAAATACGGCCGCAATGATTTCTTCTATGCTTTAGCCGAGGAGGCCAAACAATGTCCAGAAGAGAACTACTCCAAGTATCTCTTTCGCGAAGCACCTCACCTAAATCTTCATCCTCTCGAGATTTCCAATCTCGCCGCTAATCTACTCGGTGCTGGAGCGGACACATCGAGCAGCACTTTACAAACAGCGGTACTGGCAATGCGTGCCTTCCCCGAGACCCTTGAACCCGCCTGGGAAGAGCTAGACCGTGTAGTGGGGCGATCGCGAAGTCCGACGCTCGAAGACGATCTTCCATATCTCCGCGCTTTCGTCAAAGAGGTCTTCCGCTGGCGTTCAGTGGCGATTATAGGAGGTACTGCTCATGCACCCACTCAAGATGACTATTACAACGGCTACTATATAGCGAAGGGTACCTGGGTGCAGGGGAACGTCTGGGCAATACATCACAATGAGCGCGAATTCCCCGACCCCGATCGCTTCAATCCTAGGAGATTCCTCGATACGGATGATAAGAGGCCATTTCCTGGTGAGAAGGGATATATGACTTTCGGATGGGGCAGAAGAAGCTGTGCTGGTCAAGCGTTGGCTGAGCAGGGTACGCACCTCAGTATCGCACGATTGGTGTGGGCGTACAAGGTGGAGCAAGAGGTGGACCCAAAGACGGGAGAGGAAGTGCCTGTTGACATCTTCAATTTCACGTAAGTCGTGTTTCGATACCCCAAGACTATAAAACGCTCTGGGTACTAACGTTTAGCAGGAGCGGATCGAACTGGCGACCCCAGCCATTCAAGGTCAAGTTCACACCCAGACACGAAGAGATCAAGCAGACCGTTATCCGAGAGGCGCAGCAAGCACGGCAAGATTTGGCGAAGTATGATCGCGAAACCAAGTACAAGTTCAGCACGTTCTACGAGTAGGGATTGGCTGAGATATGATATCATTCATGGATATTATGTATGCGTCGACTCGCGAGGTCGATCAACTCTCGAAATGCCGTCGGGCATTTCCATACAGCTTTGCATAACACCCCTGTCAGTGCGGAGAAGACATGGGTTTCTCCTCACTGCCCCACGATGCTAACCTCGCCTGACTCGCATATGTCGCTGTATAAGGCTGCGACCCCTTCTTCTCGTAGGAGGATGCTGGTCTATCCCAGCGTGAGCAATAATGGCAAAACTTCAGGAGACGTCCTTGTGGGCGAACCGCAAATGCTTACTAATATGCTCCGCCGTCGCTATTGCTAGCATGCAGTACGGCATCGATACTGCTGCAGTAGGCGGTCTGCAGGCCATGCCTGGATTCTTGAAGGTCTTTGGGTATGAGGACCCGACAAGCCCGCTTGGCTATGGTATTGATGCAAGTCCACATAGCCTATGACATCGCGAACGTTACTGACGCTCAAGATAGTCGACGGTGCAACAGCTCATGACCTCTTTGCTAAATCTGGGTTCTTGCGTATCTGCTATTGCTGCTGGTGTGTTTGGTGGCTACTTCGGTCGCAGAAAGGCCTTGTGGCTCGCATGCATCATATGTCTGGCTGCAGTGTCGGTACAGATTGGGTCTACGTCCAAGGCCGGTTTGTACGTAGGTCGATTGTTGCTAGGCTTCTCCAACGGCTTCTTTGTCGTATTCTCGACTGTGTACTGTAGCGAAGCAGCACCGGCGCATCTTCGGGAGTATGTTCTTCAGTCTACCCAGGCACTGGTTATACTGACAATCAGCAGAATCATGGTCGGACTCTTCTCTTTTTATGTGAACCTCGGAAGCATCATCGGTTCCATCATCGACAACTACACTTCACGCTACCTCTCGAAACTCTCCTATCAAGTTCCTCTCGCCTGCATGTTCATCGTCCCGGTTCTACTCGGCACAGCACTCTTCTTCGTCCCCGAGAGTCCGCGATGGCTTCTACATCGTGACCAACATGATGCGGCGCGCAAGTCTTTGGAGCGTCTTCGCTTCGACCATGGCGAAGAGCTGGAGTTGGAATGGGCGGAGATGATCCGTGGTGTGGAAGAAGAGCGCAGATTGAGTCAGAGTTCAGGCTTTCTGGATCTCTTCCGCGGCAACGACTTGAGACGAACACTTCTTTGTTGGGGCACGATTGCAAGCCAGTCAGCGAGTGGCGTCTGGTTCTTCATCGGGTACCAAACCTACTTCCTCGCCATCGCTGGGATTACGAAAGCCTTTCAGTACAGTATTATGAACTCGTGTATCGGGTTCATCGGTGTTCACCTTGGTCTCTTCTCCATGAACAAACTCTTTGGAAGAAGGACGATCATGATCGCTGGAGCGATAGCATGCGGTCTATGTGAGCTTGCGTGCGGGATCGCCAGTAGCGTAAAGCCTAACTCCGTCGAGACCGGGAATGTGTTAGTAGCTTTTACGGCGCTGTTCCTGTTTTGCTACAATGCCGGGGTGGGCGTTGCGACAAGCCCTCTAGCAACAGAGCTTGTCAGTTCAAGACTGCGAGCTTGGACAGTGGGTAGCGCCAATGCGCTTGGCTACTTCCTCGCCTGGCTGATCGGCTTTTGCTCGCCATACTTCATCAACCCTCAGGATCTTGACTGGGTGAGTAAGCATGCTTCCTCTTCCCTATAACGCTAACACGATCGCAGGGCCCGCAATACACGTACATATGGGCAGCTTCGAACTTCATCTGCGTTGCCTGGTTCTACTTCTTCCTCCCGGAGACAAAAGCGCGATCACTAGAGGAGCTGGATGAGATCTTCGAAGCTAGAGTGGCGGCACGAAAGTTCAAGCTGTATGAGTGCAGAATTGTGGAGGATGCGAAGCATGATGTTTATGGGAAGGAGACAGTTGAGACCATAAAGCAAGCTGCTTGACAAACTACATAAATGTCTTTCGTAGGTATCAGTTACTACGCATCTATTCCTGCTCATCATCGTGAGGTACTTTGATCCGAACTCTCACAATCTCATCAGCGATCGTGGGCGGATCATCTGGCGCAGGGAGTTCATAGGACATTGTCCATCCCAGAGAAGGCAGGGCCAATACTTCTTCACGAGTCCGATTAGGATGCCAATGCGAATCCTGGAACCAGTCTGAAATCCATTGCCACGGGGTCAATGCCTTCTCATAGCTCGTGAAGTCAGTCGTGGCCTTGTAAGTTTTGTCACCAACGGTGAAAGTAGATGATGTAGCAGTACCACGATCGTCTTTGTGGCTGAAACTCGCGACGACAAGGGCAGCGATATCTGTGTATTTCATTGCTATCTTGCTTTGGTCAGCGACGAATTGATGGAATCGGATGCAACGGCCTTGGAAGATTGCCCGTTCCCAGGAGAGACCGCATTCGGGAAATTGGAAGACACTGGCTTCTTCCTCGCTAGCGAAGGCCTCCATCGATAGACCTTGGGGATCATTGCACTTGAAGATCGGAAACTTGTCGAGACAGTGGGCCAACTCGTGGAGCAAGACGTGGGCGAGAAGGAATTGGGGTCCAAGGTTCTGTACGCTAGATGGAGGGGGAGGACCAGAACTATCTGACACAGTTGTCTCGGAGTCTGGGTCGAGCACCTTGCGAAAGAATGAGTGCAGGAGTACACAGGGACTCGTCGGTGCCCCCTGTCCTGGTCGAAATCGCAAGCCCTCGCCCATCATATCGGCGCAATAAGCCAGCATACCGTTACGTACCTTGGCGCTTCTATCCGCTTCGCGCCAATTGCAAAGCCTTAAAACCTCGTTATAAGTCTTGTCATTGGTCGCGTGGTCTGAGAAGGTTGTTCGGAGTTCATCAAAAGCGAAAGTTAATCCCAAATCCATGTCTGTCGGAGTACGGTCGGATTCTTGCACCTTCCAAGTCAAAACGCTAGTTAGGTTGTCCAGTTTCTCCCTCCATTCGGCCATCAAAACGGATTTCTCCACCAGCCGATAGTCTGATGTGTAGATTAGTGGCGGTGGCTCATCTCTTACGAAGGTCTGGGAAGGCAATGTCCTGCTTCTCATCTGATGCCAGAAGTAGTCGAGAACTCGTTCGTCTCCCACAAATCGACTCGCAAGTTGCAGACCAGGCCTCATGCTTTCGTACATGTTCTGTGAGACGCCAATGAACCGGTCGCGAGCGAAGATTGGTGCGATCTCGTTGCTGAGACTACTTGTACTCGAGGTGACGTTGAAGAAGCTTTGTTCTTGTAGATACTGAATCGCTTCTTTGCGCACATTATCGACATGGCCTTTGAATTCGTGCATGGGTGATGAGATACGAATGATTTCGCTACGTTCTTCTGGGCGCTTTAAGCATGCTATGGTATGTGCTTGCTATTAGCAAAGTGTAGGCCTCATGTGCTACCCTACTCAGACTGAATTTGATGATTGCTCTGTAGCAGCTCACTTTACCACGTCATATGATAAGAGAAGATTGTGTAAAAGGTGCTTGGGGATGAATTAGATGCATTCTAATGATTTGCAAGGCAATATCATTCTTACACCATGTTTGTATGTATGCAGATCGGTACATGTCTCCTTCCGAATTCGAAACGTGTTCTTGACTAAAGCCAAGTCAGGAGGCTAAATGTTGTAGCTACAGCAAGGACTGTCATGCCAAGCGTATGCTGGCTCAGGTTGACGATGGCGGCGTCTACTTGAGTTAGCACGTTGTAGGGAAGCAGGTGATTAGATGCATACCTTCGACATCGGGAGTCTCCGTTGCTTCAGCACCATCCTCTTCTGACTCAGTGGTGGAAGGCGATGCCTCAGTGAACTCGGATGTCTGAGTCTCTGGGGAAGTAGACGGTGTCGATGCAGTTCCGGTGCTGGATGATGACATCGTTGGAGTCGAGCTCGCCGACAAGACTACACACGGCCCACCAAGGAAGGGATACGCCGACGGGGCCATATCGTTGATACAGTCGAAGAAATCACTCCCATTGTCTGCCTCACACCACTGAGTGCAGTCGTTCAAGATACGGACCTCGGCATCATCGTTGCAACAGGATGTGATGTTGACATCGTTCAGGGGAACGTTGACCTGGCAGATCTGGCCTGTGAGCCCCGTAATATTGAGACCATTAGGAGCGATGCCTGGAGAACAAGACGTGGGTGTAGGCAGGGCTACGCTCGATGGGATTGGAACGATTTCTGATGCGATCGAAATGAATGTTGAAGTCATGGTGGGCGGGAAAGGTACAATTTCTGTAGTGAATGCTGAGGTCATGATGTTGGTTAGAGGAAAGGAGGCGGCAACTGAGAATGAGGGAAGTAAAAAGGCGAACAGGAGGAGCACAATACGTTATAATGCTCAAATATACCTAGGTAGGTAGCAACGATGCAACAAACGCGGCGTCATCTGTCATACTGGAAGCCGACCGACCCGGAACGGTGTCTTGGTGCATAGCCAAGACAGATTAAGGCAGAATGAACATAACATCACCCTTTGTTGTCTCAGTGCATCGCCCACTCTGATGCCACCTGGGTGCGCGCCAAGAGCGGGGGCGGTTAGCGCGGCACTACTGGCGCCTTCAGGTACCCGTGCCTCTCACACCTCTACTTCCAGTTATCCGGTAACCTTGATGATATGGTACGCCCCGTTATAGCGACGCTTGAAGTGGTGTTGCTGTTGCGGATTCGAAAAGGGGTAAGGTCGTCGTGGCTTTCGCATCAAACTGAAGGTTGGATCGTTTTAGGAAAGTTGACGGCCATTGTATTACATACGTTTGTGCTATTCAGCCGCGTTCCTAACGAGAGCCTCACATCAAAGATTGATTCCGTTCATAGAGCGTTCTTATTAGGATGATAAAGTAAGAGGAAGCCCATCATGATCATTACACACGATGTTCAACAGTACTCGCTGCTTGAGGCTGGCAAACTCCAAGAGTGAGCGGCCAAGATTCGACGACAGACTGTATAGGCGTGTGCAACAGTCGCTGTCAGCCACCCAAGCAACTGTATTTTTTAC